ATTAACAAACCATTTAAAGATAGACTTCGTGAAAAGTGGAATACTTGGATGAGTTCAGGTAATTTCACCTATACCAATAACGGAAATTTAAGAAAGCCTGAACATAATGTCATTTGTAAATGGATTTTGGAGGTTTGGGATGAAATTCCGAATGAAATGATTGTGAAATCATTTAAAAAGTGTGGCATTAGTAATGCAATTGATGGATCGGAAGATCATTTGTTTGGACAAGCTTATGGGGATGAAAATGAAGATGAGGAAGATGAATGTGAAATACTAGATAGAAACGATGATTCAGCTGATGAATTAGAAGGGGAAGAGTCTGGTGATTCTGAAAAAGAATAATCAAAATAAAAAAATTTTCTTATTTTTTTATTTATTATATAAAAATAAGAAATCAAATAAAAAATTTTCAAAAATATAGGTGTTGCTTATATTTATTTTTCTATTTTTTCTGTTTTTTAGTTGCAAATTCTTACTGTTGCTTATATTCGGGAGAATACAGTAATTTTTTTGCATTGGCTGTTCAAAAACTCTTGTGTGTAAAGTTTTCTATGTAAAGTTCTCTTTTTTACTATGAAACATATGACTTTTTAATTTAGGAGTGGAGACAGTTTTGGAATTGGAAGATCTGCAAATATCTATATGTGTAACATTGAGTTGTCCCCCCATATATTTACTTACCCCTAGGTATTATTTTTTTTTATTTTACTAAATTATTTACTCAATTATATAGAATAACCTAATTGTCAACATTTCTTTGCTGATGAATGCACCAGAGGCTAAATCAGAGTGTCAAAAAAAATGAAGTTCCAGTGTCCTCAGATCGAGAAGATAATTGATTATTAACATGAGCATCTTGTGCTATTACTATGTATTCCTGTATCAATAAAATCAACCAGATGGTCAAAATTTTCATACAAACATTAGAAAAAATAAGCTAATTATTATTACACATATCCGATAATTTTCCTCTACATGCTGAGAATATTTGAATTGAGATTTTTCACCTTGAGATATCTACATACCTCTTCATAATCAAATACCTCCTTTACATCTTGTGTCTTCTTATTTATGACAGTTATATGACCTTCATGAATAATGTGATCATATTTATCCCAGTTTTGAAATTGTAAATATTGCATAGGATTTGTAGTAAATCTACCTTGAGTTTTATGTTTGTTATTTTTAGATTTGCAAGTCATATTTGACATATCTATATTAATATGTGTAAATGACTTCAATTTTTCCTGATTAATCTCGGATAAAAACATGAATGAACATAAATGGTTATGTAGACCATGTTTATTTTTACGAAATAAAAACTTTACTGAAGACATAAAAATAAAAAAAATATAACCCAGAAGGACGTAAAAAATAGCACTATTATAATGTGAATATAAATAAAAAAAATCTAATTGTTCATTCTCGGTTCATGTAGGGAGTATGCAATAATATGTTTTCAGGAGGATCATCATTGAAAAAACTAGAGATTGGAGCTGGTGATCGCATACGCCTTTCTTCTACACTTACAGGATGATAAATTTGACGAATATCAAGAGGAATATTATTGAATGGAGGTGCCAGCTGATTCTGAATTGCGGTTTGGAGACCATCAACCGTTGCATCTCTGGAAATCGTAATTATAAACTACAACACTATTGATTGAAAGTTGATTACGTGGGTTATTAGGAATAGCAAGACAATTGAGAGTAATATCGTTGGCCATTTTCACGTTTCCTAAACACAAAAACCCATAGTGAGTAATTTCACTTTCATAGATAGGGCTTTGTTATAAACAATGAACACGAGCAAGGAAGACACATTTACCTTATAAAATTATATCATCCAACCATTGCTATTGCTTGTTTTTTCGACCCTAGATATAAAGGCAAATATTTACTACAGTCAAGCCTCGTTTCAACGAAGTTTGGTCTGGTCCCCCTTTTTTTATTAATTAAAAATTTTTGTTTCAACGAATTTTATATATGGGGCATGCTGCAACAAAACCAGACAAAGTGAACATTGGTATAACCAAGAATTTCAGGGATCAAAATTTAGTCATTTGTAATGTGATCATAATTAACAGTTTTATCTCATTTGTTAAATGATATATAGAACTAGTGACGAAATAATTTTCGACGAAATGAACTTTCGATGAAACAAACTTTCGACGAAATGATTGTTGATGAAATGAATCAGACCCACAATATTATTATCGTTTAATATTATTTTCAAATTATTAATTAAATTAATTTGAAAATCCTATTTCTTTAATCATAGACATGAAAAAATCTTGAGCAGCGCTCTTATTAGTTTATCAGCAGAAAGGTTTTTAAAAATGAACATTTACAAGCCAAGGTAATGGCAAAGGACGATTGAATCGGTTCTATATCCTGTATGTGAATCGAACGGTAGTCCGATTGGATAAATGCTTTTGTTAATTATCACCATTATTATCAATTATTTGTTTTACCATTTTGAAGGTGTTCCATCAACATCATTACCACATTCTTGCATCATCAACAATTGCCATATCACGAACATATTTTCTTATTAGACTTGTTAATAATGGATAAGGTGCTTCTATCTATCACAATTAAATGATGAAAATGAATGATGAGAAGGTTGAAATTTTGAAAACTTACAAAATAAGGTTCAATTGATTTTACATCTAATGCTTTGGCCTTGTTATTATTTAATTGGTAAAGCACTATCCAAAATGGCTCTAGCAATTAGATCTGTATGTAGAAAGTGCATATCATACTGAAGGCAAGTGAGTACCATACTGAAGAAAGGGGAAAAAATGGTTATGTAGAAAGTGCGTACTGTACCAGGGAAGGGGTATTGGTAATATGGAATTTACATGTTGAACTTGTAATTTTTTTTAGTACGGTACTCACTTGCCTTCAGTATGGTACGCATTTTCTATATATTCCAGTTGGATTTTGAGGTTTGGAAACAGATAAAGTTACACGAGTAAAATTTTCTTTTTTTGATCAAAAAAATGAATTTAAATCAATTTCGAAGATTAATTATTCTCACGACAAAAAAATTGCCTAAATGTAATCATTATCATCATCATTATAATAATAATATTAAACTTATTAATATTAATAAAAATAAAAATATATTACTGAATAAAATAATTACAATCCATAATAACAATTTATTATTGTTTAAAAGAACTTATGTAATATCAAGTAAAAATCCAAATGAAGCTTCTGTATCATATGAACATGAAAAGGATAAAAACAAAGATGAAAAGAATAATGAAAGAGAAGAAGATATAATAGAGATGGTAGATGTAGAAGGAAATGATGATAAAGTTGAAGTTGAGCATATTGATAAATCATTATATCCAGAATTATTTCCAGAAAAAAATGAATTAAATGAATTAAGTGACGAAGATGGAAATAATGAAGATGTAAAAGGTGCCAGGGAAGAAGATTTTACATGGTTTGTTGATCCTAAATATGAGAATCCTCAAGAAAATGCTGTCGATGATGAAGATTTTATACCAATGTGGCAGCGTAAAGCATCTGTAGTTGTTTCAGATCTGTCATCAGCAACATCAAAATTTGAAGGGGAAGGAGGAAAACATTTGGAAATGGTGAAATATTTAGAAGATGAAGGCATTGAAAATATTACAATTATTGATGTTAGTAAGAAATCTGATTTTGCAGATTGGATGATAATTGGCGAAGGAAAAAGTTCAAGGCATATGGGTGGCGCAGTTGATGGGTTATATAAAATGGTAATTATAATTTCTACTTGAAAAAGAGGAGCATTTGATATACATAAACACATTTATATACATATATCTTCATATCTTTATATCTTTACATATGTGTCTAGTTGAAAGATAATATAAAGAAACAAAATTTAGATGCGTCCAATTCATCATCACTAAGTTATCCAATAGTGGAAGGAAGAGATTCAGATGAATGGATGTTGATTTATACAGAAACAATATTTGTACATTTATTCACACCTGAAGAAAGAAAATATCGTAATTTAGAAAAATTATGGGAATCAATTCCCTCATATAATGATCTTAGTGATCGTGATAAAAGGATAAGCACTACCAAAGATATTATGAAAGGGTTTAAAGGATTCAATCCAAAATTCAGTAGAAGACCTCAACTTATTGGGCTTAAAGACTGAGTGAATAAATGATTGATTGATTGGTTAATATATTAGTGTTGATTAGTTATTAGATTAGCAAATTATAGTCAGAACTCATTAAACCAAAGTCAATGTTTTCAAAAAAAAAATCTTCGGTTTAGTATCAGCCTATAGAGATAAATTTAATAGGTATATAATAAAAAAACATTGGTATATTTGTTTTATCAAAGCATCATCTTAACAAGTTATGACAAAATTAGTAGATTTTAATATAATCATCCCCAGATGAGATTCAATTCTAATTTTATTAAGAATAATTTTACCACCTGAAATCTTAACTTAAATAAATATCATTATCATCGATGCCATCATAATCCATTATTGCTATATTGCTAAATAAAATAAAATATTTTATTTCAAATTAATTTGATAATTCATATTTTTGGATTAAAGAAGATATTATCAGTAAAATTTGGCACCATCAAATTCGATGCTCAATTAATCGTGGATAATGCATATTTAACTGTATATTATATATAGGAAATTGGTCATTGATAATTGAAAGGAACTTAGACTGCTTGAATTTGATTATTCAAATAATGATCTTGATTATTATGAGCCTCCCAGTTAATAGTAATGAAGATGAAAACACATTAATTAATGGTCGATGAAGTGATATTAATACTGATAACAAGGGGCTGTTAAGTCACAATTTCCACAAAGTAAAAAATGAAGATAATTTTTTACAATCTAGAATATTATGAATCTGTCGGTGAATATGAACTTTTAGCTAGAGGATTCAGGAACTATGACAAGAAGCATGATTTCTTTGGCTATGTGACATTTATAGATGACTTGAACCTTTTTTGTTTAAGAGTTTTTAGAAACGACAATCATTTGCTAGTTTTTTTTAATTCTTTTTTAGAAATCTGAGGCTTTGAAATTTTCAACCCGTTGTAAACAAATAACATTTTTTCTCCGCTTAAGCACGAGAGGAGCAGAGATGAGCTAGCTAATGAAAAATCTCTGTTTTCTTCAACCTAATTTTTTGGGAAGGAATTTTTTGTTTTTAAAATTAACATACATAATATATTTACCTTTGATGATCTATTACGACGTAGATACCTTTTCCGCATGATAAACGTCCTTTACTGTTTATCATGCAAATAATAAATCTTTTTTTTCCAAGCAAACAGAGATTTGGTTTTTAATGCTTGGTTGGCGTGATAAAAATCACTACTGACTGGTATGTTTTTTTTAAATTAACAAGTTTACAACCGAGAATGCAATTTAAGCCTTTTACCCTTTATTATTATCACATTTTAGATCAAGACAATAGCCTATTTTATTAAATTCGAAATATATAAATAGAACGGCCGCTCCCACATTTTTTGCAACACCAACGTAGTAGTAGTGAGAGATATTTCAAGTTTAACCGTGAAACCAGAACCATCTCACCTTTTCAATGTACAGGAAGGGGACATATTTCGTGAACATGTGCATGCATGTCGTTTAGGCTCCAGGAGTTGATGTTTTTACTACTTGGGGAAAAGATATGTAATTCCTCAGTTCAGGTAAAATACCTAGTGACTGATCCACCTGCTATCTGCTCAAAATGTGCATTACCAATTTCAATGATTGATTTGGATGATGATAATCCCTATTGGAAAGATCTTATAGAGAAATACTTTGGGCACCCAACTGGAGAACCTTTTAAATCCATGTTATACAAAGATTATTTTGAACAATATAAGATATCTTTGTCACCATTAAATTCAACAAAATAAACTATATTCTGTGATCTCCTTGGAAATTATGTTATTAAAAGGAAGAAAAAAATATTGGTCAGATATAGAATTCTTCACATGAGGCATGGTGAATTATATTTTTACCAAAGACTTTTGTTGAATTTTCCAGTAAGAAGTGAGCAAGAGTTGATAGGATCTTACACAACTTACAGAGAGCATTATCTTGCCATATATACTGAAAATTCTTTACAGTTGTTGAACTTTGAACAGCAACATCAACATAATCAGACCATTGAAATTCTGGACCAGTATTGTGCACTTATGGAGACTCTTTAACCATTGTTATCCTGTGATATAAAAGAACTAATAAAACAACAACTTGAAAAAACAAAAATGGTACCTGCTGCTATTCCAAACAATCCTATGCTGTACTTGCCAAGTTGACAATACAGATGTATTCAAATAATTAGGAACTTTATGGGGAAGGGAGATCCATACCATTGTCCCTATTTTTTCATAACTGGAAGTGCATACAGAATTGGAAAATCTTATCTAATTAATATGTTGAAAAGAATATTTACATCTTCAAGAAAAAATTTTCTCTTAATGACTCCAACAGGAATTTCAGCCCAAAATGTCAAAGGGCAAACAATTCACTCTGCATTAAAAATTAGATCTAATGGTGAAAATTATCAAACATTAGCATTTGTAGATAAAGAATTTAACCTGAAATTGACATGATAATAATTGATGAAATCTCAATGGTGTCAGCATCACTGTTGACCTTCATATCTGAAATATTTTCATCAATTCACTATAATCACGAACCTTTTGGTGGCATAAATTTCATCATTATTAGAGACCCTGCACAACTTCCACCAGTAATGTATATAAGCTACCTATTTGGAGATTACTTTATCCACTCTTTCTTTGCCATTCACATCAACCAAATGATGACCTGAATTTTACAACCTCTTACAAAATATCAGAATTGGTAATATTTCACAACAGGTTTGGCAGAATTAGAAGAGAAGTTTCATGGTAGTCTTGAGAACTCTGTAGAGTCTATCTTGAACACAACACATATTGTTGGCCTCAGAGAATGTGCTGATCAAATAAATAGGACAATATGTAATCTTTTATCTGTTCTGGATAATAAAATTATAATATCCAAATCTACCGATATGTTAAGTGGAAAGATTGTAGATTTTGATAATGACAAACTGTTTAAAAATAAAACAAACCTTCCAAAAATTTTGAGAGCTCAGATTGGTGCAAGGGTTATGTTCCTCAACAACTCTCAGGTAAAACACAAAATCTGCAATGGTACCATTGGAGTAATAACTGATGTTGATGTAGGAAACATGAAAGTGAGAGTTGTTTTTTCTGTTCACTCTGGAATAGTAGATATGGATATCAAAAAACAAACATCAAATTTCTTAGTGAATGATATTCCTGCAAGTAGGGAACAATTTCCAATCAAAATGCTTTTGCATTGACAGTACATAAAACACAATCATTAACTTTACCTGACATATCCCTTAGTCTCGATTCCCAAATATTTGCAGCAGGTCAAGCATATGTATCTTTAAGTCGTTGCACTGATTGGGAGAAGGTTAAAATTAATGCATTTACAAGGGAAGCATTTATTACTGATCAATCAATGATAGCAGAATACAAACGTTTAGAAAGAATTGCTGCCAACTCACTTCCATTTTCTGTAACTCGATAGTAATACTGTAATTGTAATAGAATTAATATTATCGTCGTTTGGCATGTAAAAACAAAATAAAAAATAATAAAATTTTGTTGTACGAATCGCAAATCTCTTTATCTGTACTGGTTGGTGACGAAGTCACCACAAATATAAATTTTGCAATATGCAGTAGATAATTCGGTCACAAGTGTAACAAAGCTTAATTGAAAAGGAAACCTGTGGGCACTTTTTCAACCATGATCGATTTGTCATTTTAAATTGGAAAGAAACAAACATGATCGAACAGTTTGTAGATTAAAGCAACGTTTCACGGTTGTGTAAACATACAAAAGTTAATTCATCTTCTATTTAGTGAAACAACAACTTTCTTTTAAGAAAAAAGTTTTTTTAAAACCATAAATAAAATAATGGACAAACTCAAAAATTATTTCAAGAAAAAAAATTTGAGTGATGGTGATGATGACAATAACAACAGAAATATTCCTATCAATGATACAAATAGCAACAATAAAATTGAGTCTACTAATCATTTTAATAAAGAAGATGAATATTTCCTTGTAAGAGAAAGAAAATTTGGTGCATGTTCAACTTGTAATCAATACAATTCTTCTTATTCATGGTGTCAAAAATGTGACCCACCATTATTAACTCGAGGATGGACAAGCGGTAATGAAGCATTAGATGAATTAATAAAAAGTACACAATTTAAAGCAACACGATATGAGAATCGTTATTATTTTGAATGGATTGATTATAAAAATTTAAAAGATATCAAAAAGATAGGTGAAGGTTGTTTTTCAACTATTTACAAAGCTTCTTGGATCAATGGTCTTAAATCTATAAACCAAAGTAACAAACGAACTAGAAGAAATAGGATTGTTGTATTAAAAAAGTTAAAAGATATACAAATTATTTCTGATGAATTTTTAAATGAGGCATGGTTTTTTATTTTTATTTTTATTTTTATTTTTATAATATAGAAAAAGTAATTACTTCTAAAACTAAATTTTTTAATTCTTAAATTTTAATTTTTTACAGGTCAAAAATTACGTTGAATTTTATAAAAGAATCAATACAGTTCATATTTTTGGATTATCACAAGATCCAATCACCAATGAATATATATTTGTGATGGAATATATGAATGATGGAAATCTTCACGATTGTTTAAAAAAGGAATTTAAAAATTTAAAATGGAAAGATAAACTAGACATTCTTTACAGTATTATTAACAGTTTAGAAAAGCTTCACGAAAAAGAAATTATTCACCGTGACCTTCATAGTGGTAATATTCTATATAAAAAGCAAAATGACTTTATCTATCCACGCATTGCAGACTTGGGATTTTCATGTCCAGCTAATCAAAATGTATTTGGGGTACTTCCATATGTTGCACCAGAAGTCTTAAGAGGTGAAGCTTACACAATTAGATCTGATATATATAGCTTTGGGGTGCTGATGACATTGATATCAGCAGGTCAACAACCGTTCAAAAATGTTCCGCATGATTCAGATCTTGCAATGGCTATTTGTGAGGGCCTAAGGCCAGGATTTTCAAAAAATACTCCTAAATTTTTTATTAGATTGGCATATAGATGCATGGATGCTAATCCTAACAAGCGTCCAAATGCTAAAGAAATTAGAAAGTCTTTTGGTTTTTGGAAAGGTGCATTTAATAAATACTTGATTAGGATGGATAGACATGATTATTATACTCGAGAACAACTCGATGAATTAAAATCAATTAGAAGAGAAATTAATGAAATGGATAGAATAAAATTTGATCCATCGACAATCGCTTCAATTGTTCGTTCAAATGCCGTTTATACTAGCAAGTTATTGAAATTTTTAAATCTTCCTCAACCTGTGAATACAAATAAAGTTACAATAATCGGTAATCATAATGGTAATTATTATGATTTTATTATCGATTTTTACTGTTAATCTATTGATTTTAACGTTTGAATAATCAATATCAACACTAATGCTAATAAATTATATTTATAGATTCTCGTGAAATAGATTTAACAAATGAATGAATTTCTGATGTAAAATGTATTGTAAATTTATTTATCGTTATTATTATTATAATAATGGCCGAAATATTTATTTATTTATTCATGATTGTGCACTTGTTAAATTTATTTATATATTGGTTTGTTTATTACTACTCTTGAGTAAATACTTCAACAGGTTGCTCAACAATTTCCAAGTAAAATTTTTATTTCATAAATAATCAATTCATCACTTACAAATTAATATCTCAAATATACAACGAATCTATCTACCCCGAAGGGAAAGCTGTCGAGTATTTATAATAGTAATAAATAAGGGCATTCGTAATTTAATATCATGATCGTACGACTTGAGCATTAATAATAGTAGGACACCGCCAACACTATGATTCGAAAAGTACTTTAAAATTTAAAAATGTCACCGCCCACCTTATATTCGCATTAATAAGGAAGAAAGAAAAATGTCTCCGGTTATACTGATTCGTAATTTCGAAAGAAATCTATGCACATAGTACTTTGCTGATATATGAAGTATCAGATGATATTTCATTTTATTCACAAGGTTACACATGCGGTGGAGTGAAATATGAGAAACCGACTTGGCTTAAGCTCCTTTCCATGTATTTACAGTTATCCAAAGGTAAAGAATAATGGTAAGTTCTATCAACACCTACCCATGTTATTCTTCCTTTTCTTAGGAAACACTTTCAAATCATTGGGCAAATATTATTTTCTATTATGCATGATAAAGATCCATCAAAACACACATTATTTAATCATGCAAACACAATATATTTTTTTGATAAAAATTTGGAAGTTCATATTATTATACCAGAATTGATGAATTTGTTGTTCTAATGATAATATTTTCAGAGAAAAATTTCACAAGAGATAATAACATAATAGATTTTATAAGAAGTTTAGCAAAAAAATCAAGTGATTTAAAAATATTAACAAGTTTAATAAATGGTCAAATTTATAATTGATTTTTCTTATCTTCTTCCAAATGAAATATTTTTAACTTTTAATTTTCTCATTGATTCTGTTAAATTATCAACTTCCATCGAATCAGAAGATTCAATGTTATTTTTACTGCTGTTGCTATTACTATTATTATCATTACTAACATTAAGTTTCTTCGCCTTATTTTTTTCATCTTTTTCTTTTTTTTTCGATTTTTTCTTTTTAATATAATATAATTTATTTCTAATACTGAATGGAACTATTCCTGTCTGAACAATCGTAAAATTAAATTTTTTGGGATAGTGATGCTTATCAATTAAATGCAATCTACGTTTCTTTGGTTC